GACAAACAGCTATTCAACTTATAGAAGATTAAACGAGAAATGAACAAGTTCAGCAATCAGTGTGTGTGCGTGTGTATGTGTATCCCTGTGGAAATGACACAAACCAAAACACCACATGTTAACAATATCAGGCTAAAACAACATCAACTAGAAATCAATCTGTCTAATACTCACTTACAAGAGATTTTCAGCATGAACGCTTTCGTAACTAACAGAAGAGACGTAAACGTACGAAATGATCAGGTGGAGTGTTGAGTACACTCCAAAACGAATTGATTGCATTTTATTCGTAGTATTCGGCAAAGTTTTCATTTTTGTGAAACACGACACGTTCGTCGTAATTATGAATTATTCATTCATTCATTCATTCAGATATCTATTCCGTAGGACAGCAATAGTCTCAGCACACACACATTCAAACTCACTTGTTCTGCAAATCGGAATTCATGATTCACGATAATATTTGTTAAGTGTCAGCGAATGTTCAGGCTGATAGGTGAGCTAATTTGGTACAAATTATAAATTTAGGGCAACACATGTGTGCCTGTGTATGTAACTCAAACGTTTATTATTACTGATTGTTTTTTATATCTCAGACGTTTATGTATCGTTTATTTGAATTTGTGTAATGCCTTAAGGGTTATATTAGTGAATGAATTTAGCCAGATAACACGAATCGGTTGATTATGCATTACACTTTTAGGACACTGACAGCATGTAACACATTCAAGTGGAGAGACAGAGAGGCAGACAGAGAGAGAGAGAGGTAATCATTATCTTCGCCTTTTTATATATACTGAACAAATTCAAAAAGCCGGACAGTATCTAAATTATCATAGTATCTGTCCACTACAGCATAAAAAAAGCGTTGGTTAGGTGTTTGTTCAAATGCATTATTCACCGTATATGTACTGCCAACAAAAGTGAAGAAGAAATACAACACCTCACAGAAACATCGTTAGATAGCAACTACCCACTGAGATTTATTAGGCGTTACGGAGTTGTCAACCAAAACGTTCTACCAATCCATTTTCATCCAATAAAGGATGTTTTTATACTTTTGATGTGGTTGTGTTCTCTGAGCTTTCATCAACCTACTAGGTAACATCTTCAGCGCATACTTCAATCTAAAGTGAGCTTTTAGATTTCTCCACGAGTTTATGAGTCAACTCTCCTGGTCACCTGACTTTGAACGTGATTGATTGTTTTTGTGTGTTTTCACACCCTCCAAGCTACTTGTGGATACGAAGATGAAGAGGACGTCCACTTTGGCCAATGTAGTGTTTCTCGAAATTGTAACAGTTTATTTTGTAGATGATACTGGTTTAATCTTCTTTCGTTGTTGAGTCTTTTGGTTGAAATAGAACTGAGTAAAGTGATTTTGTTGGTTTGGGTGAGACGTCAATTCCTAAATGTTCGAAGAGTCTTGCAGTGATTTCTGAGATGTCCTTTATATGTGATAGGACGATCTTCTTTATGCTTTCCTTGGGGGCTTTTGGTTTGATAGGTTGGCTTGGGGATAAATGTCTTTTGATGAATTTCCGTGGATATCCATTCTTTTGGAAGACGTCCATGAGATATCTTTCGTCAATTTTCCTTAAGGTAGGAGTGATGCGATGAGTCCTCGCCCTCTTGAATAGTGATTGTAAACAATTCTTTTTGTGTGTTATTGGATTGTTGCTGTTGTATGAGTAGGTTTTCTATAAACTTGATTTTCTAATTCCCCTATGGTTCTTCACTTGACTAAATATGATTTCGTTCTCGGATTCCTCTTCTCTTGTGAATTTGATGTCGTTGAAGACGTTGTTTATTAAGTTGTGAGTTTTATCTAACTCGTTTCTTTTGATTATTACAAATGTGTCATCTACGTAACGTATCCAAATTTTGTGTTTGATCTTTGGTAGGATTATGTTTTCGAGCCTTTCATCACCGCTTCTGCAATCAAACCTGATATTGGCGATCCCATAGGTGTTCCTTTGACTTGTTAATATATTTGGCCGTTAAATTGGAAGTACGTTGTTAGGCATAGGTTTATCCATTCCATACAGCTTGATATTCGTATACCCTTGACGTTCACGGGTGACCAAAAACGCTTGGTCAGTAAACAAAGGCTGAAGGTGGCAGTTAATAGAAATTATTTCACTGCTAAATTTATCTACATAGAGAAAAAGAGAACTTTGCTATCGTGTAAACCCTCACAGTAGTATCTGAACGATAGTATCACATCTAACTTTGTTTATCAGTTTATTTGTATGCATAAACACACGTACAATGGCAGGATGACCCATAGGTCTCCGCAGCTTAGGGATACACAACATATTCCAAAGCGACTGCAACAACAACGAAGGAAATCGCCAGTTACAATTCATCCCGGAAATAGATGTCCAAAATCACCTATGACAAAGCACGTTACACAGACAGGTTATAAGGTTGATTTCAGAAATGCATTGAGGCTCATATATAAACCAAAGTTTGGCCACATACATAAATTTGTTGAAGCCTTAGCTGTGAAAAGTCTTAAACCTGTCAGTCTTACGTGTTGAAAAGTTATTTGTTATTACTTGAAACCTGCCTTGGTAATCGAATTTACTTCATGATATTTTCACCCCCTCCTTTCTTATCTCCCTACCTATTATTTATTAGTTTCACCTGTACACATTCTGACCTGCATTGTAATGATTCATGCCAACTCTTCCCTTTTCTTAAACTAAACATGACAAGTACTCGTGTGTGTGATCAGAATGCCTGAAATGTGTTGCGCAAATGCACACTGCATTACACCTTTCAGATATGCTATCTACGTCTTCTCATTGTGTTGTCAAAATTTGTAAAAAAGGAACTAATTGCTTTATATTCAAAAAACCGTCAGAAAAAGCCAATAGACTGCAATCTAAACAAAGAAATAATTTCCTTTGAGCAGACCGCACAGTCGTCAAGGATCACTTTCACTGGGTTAAACACGGTTCTAGACCGCCTCTGAGAAGACTTCAATTTTTCTCAGCTCCTCTCAGCGTGTTTATTTGTGAGCTGCCTTTCAACCTTTCCGTCTGTATCTGTTGGGTTGTGAAGCTTTTGGAATTTCGTTTCATTGGTTGAAAACGAATTCATTTTGTCAACGTAATGCATTGTCTTATTAATTGATGTCACTCCACAATATTTTCATTATAGATACTCATTTCAAATTCCTATTTTACTTGCTAAGTAAACCGTACCACAAACTATGTATTTATCTTTGTCCCTGTTGAATCTATAATTCTAATATTCTTCTTAGTGTTTAGGTGAGAATACAGATGCGTTAATTAACGACTGAGACTTTGCTTCAGTGAGTTGAAGTCAATCTGACCTTTGACTGTCTGCGAGCATTGTTTGATGTGTGACATTTGTTGACAGAATTTTCATCCCACCTTGTTAAGAATAGTCTACTTGTTTGTTCTGTAAATCTTACGGTTGGTATTTGGTTAACTAATATTGCCGTATAGTACTTTTTGTGCTGACAAATTATTTGATCCCTATTCTCTGATCTGCCAAACGGCCTTGTTGAGGTAGTTCTGAGTTTCTAATATATTATTACTGTTAAATAGTTAATAAATTTTATTGAAAATAAATCTACTTTTTTCCAACACCAACGTTATTTAGGACTGTCCATTACTCAAGATAGTTTTGGTCAGGAATACAATAGAACGCGGATATTGTTTTTCAGATTTCAGATCATGTCTCATCGCTTTTCAACGCTTTTATATTGGCATGGTCCGAGGTTCGATCCCCTGTCGACGCACACGTGATATCAATGGTTGGCCTGCAAAATTTAGGCCACT